CAAGTTGGTTAAGGAATTTGTCAGCATCCATGATTCACTCCTCATCCCAGTCTTTGCAAATGTCGTGTTGGGTGTATCAGACCACAATATGGTGTACAGGCTTTGAAATTTTAGCAGGCAGCCCTATTTTGCTTTCATCCTTCCAAATTCCCCAACAGTGTTCTGCAATTGCTTTAAGGCTAACTGAATTTTCTGTACAGCCCAGATTGTCTGGGTATAACCCCATGTGATAGCAGAGGATAAGTTGTGGGATATACCTCCCCACATTAATGACTACGTCACTGGGAGGGAATAATGCCTCAACTTGTTGAAGCATACAAATACCAGATTTCCTCAGACTCCTGGCACTGAGCACCTTGCCAGTGTTTCCCATCCTGATTTTCAAGAACCTACCCTGTGGTCTAACAAGTCCGGTGGAACAAGGGAGCATTTGCAGCTCACATATTCACTGGTTCCTTCAGTGAGCAAACTAAGAGTTCATGTGCGTCATCAGCGACCACCAGCAGTTTGGAAATCTCAGCCTCTGAAAGCCAGCTATTATTTCAGGCATGTGTGTGATATAGGCATTTTTCATAACAGCACTGTAAACCTCCATTGTCACCAGCCCAATTTGGTTGGCTATGAACATGCAGCAATCCTGGGTAGCAGTTTTCCAGATAGCAGCAGTAATCTGCTTTTGTAGCAGGTAAGGATTATCTTAACTGTGTACCTGTAGCACTAGTTGGTCAGGGCAAACCCCATGAAGATCTGCTTCCTCATGCAAAAATTTGTCATCCCACATATCCTGGTTGTTCTCCTGCCCTAGAAATATTACTTTATACATAGAGCTAAGGCAACAATTGTGACATGTTTTTCAAATCTGCTAGGTATGATTCTGTTACATATCTTTCATGTCCAGAACCCTTGCTCATTACTCTACAAATGACTGCACTACACCATCAACAGTTGAGATGCAGTCATGCCCCCCTCCGCAAGTTTTGGCTCATACACCAGAATTGGTAGTTATTTCTCTGTCCATGTACTGTTGCAGACTAAAATCATTTCTACCCTTGGGATCCAAGGAAGAATAAGCTTTTCCACAATGTACCACATACGACTATATTTACAAGAATCCAAGACAACTCTGAATTTAAGATGACCCCCCAATTATTCAATTCTATACATAGAAAATTGATAATTTAATAATAACTTTCCATTTATAGAATCTAATTATTGGAGGGTCATCTAAATTCGTCCCTCCCATTGCAAAGCTCAGTCAATGAGGCGGGGCAGGTAATGGGAGAAGCAGTGAGGGGGCAGGTGGTAGAAGAGCAGGTGTTAGGCAGCCCAACCCCTGTCCTCCCACACCTTGCCCCCCTGCTTCCTGCCCCTTATTTGCCCCTCCCCTTTTGCCTCCCTCCCTCCATGCCTGCACCCCAGGCACCTTCCCTCCCCCTAGAGTCCTGGCCCCTATTGCCTCTACCCCTCACCCCAGCCCAACCCCATCCCCAGCCACGTAGTAGCCACAGAACCAGCAGCTCCAGCCTGGGCTCCAGGGCCCCTCACAGACAGGAAGGGAAGATGGCAAGGGGGCACACTGGGGGGCAGAGATGGGAGGTGGCAGATAGCAGCTGCAGCTCTGGCTCTGACCATGGGCCAGGGTTGGGGCTGAGGCAGCCACCTGCTCCTCAGCTGACTTGTTCTTGAATCCAAGATGAGTAAATATGTTAATTCCTAGTTCTCTACAATGTGTGGCACTAACAGACCTTGGATTGGGCTAGGCAAATCCAAGCATCACATACAGGTACAGTATGACTACTGGTAATCAGGGCATGGCATGTGTTAGAAAAAAACACCACCTGTGGATTGAGCTAGTTTGCCTGCCTTAGACTCATAGACAGCATGCTAGAGTGCACAGATATCTTGTGGTATACATGTATGGAAACCCAAAGTGTACAAAAGCCATGTTAAATACATATTTAACTTCCTTATTAAATATCACTGGGATATGTAAATGGTGAAGAAGCCCTAAAATATATTTTCTTTGAGAATTAAATTTTATATCAAATTGAATTTTCCAAACTTTACTGAAATGCATTAAAATAACTTCTCTCTTTAATTATTCAATTATTTTAATGTGCCCATCTTTATGAAATCTGGACCCACTGATATCACTGTGGCTATTATTAACAACAGTACTGAAAAGCAACTAATATTAATTGAAAAATTCAGCATCTTACTATACAAAAAATTACAGTAATCTCAGAGAACAGTACACCCCATAGTGTTGTTCACCCTGCATAGTTTCCGCTGGTCAATGAACAGGATTTACCAAGGGGAATTCTTATTTTATGACAACACCAATCTTCCTGTTAGAGATTTTTCTTCAGTTGCCATTTAAGACAATAGACCTTTTCATTAACTTATTCTTTCGGGAGATTCATCTGCACTCCCTAGTTATGAATCTGTTCTAGACATAAGAACTTCCACATAGTTACCACAAGAGTGGCCTAGTGGAGCTGAGAAGTTTAATTATGACTACTCCAAGAAGAAGTGATATAATAAAGTATATGTTATGTGATGTAGAATATTATAATGTGGGCTGTTTAGTTTGGTCCCTCATGAAGTACAGCTACTTAGTTACAAACTGAATGCTCTTAAAAGCAAACAGGCATTCCAAGAGTATCAACATACCAATACCAACCTACTGTGCTATTCAATTAGACTGAAGAAAGCTTAAACTGTAATTTATACCACCATCCATGTAAAAAATGTTCAGGATATAAAATACTGCATTCAAGGTATGCCTTATGAATGAGGAAAACACAGTTTAGCATGCTTTATGAGACAGCATAACTTGTTCTTAATGCTCAAGTTGTGCTAAAGGACGTCTTTCTTTACTGTGAAAAAGTACAATCAGTCATACAATCAGTATTTATAGCTGATTAGTCTTCTTCTAGTTTGTATAAGCTAAGAATATTCCTTGGTTATTATAAATTTAGTCCCCAATCCTGCATACATTTAAGCATGTATTATTTTATTTATATGAATAGCCCTAATAATGTCCATTGAGCTACTCACACAAGTAAAGCACATGCATATTTATCTAAAGGATGCTAGTAAAGTCACCAGTCTGATCCATTTTTAATAAAATATGAATATAGAAATGAACTAATTTAAAAAAAATCAGATTTTCAGGCACTGTTGAATGGTATTCAAATTAATTTAAAAGTGAATCATTTTAGTTTTTGTGGGAAGTTCATATGCACATCCACTATGTCCACTCTATAAGTCACTTATCCTTGGATTTATGATGGGATTTGTTAAAATTATACCTTTTCGAAAAGTCTACTGCTCCTTAGCAGCACAGCCATACCACACTATGTGTGATCTTTCCAGAGTTTACAAGGAAAAAAACCCAAAACACGCAGTTGGGCTTGTTCTACCACTTGAATGGTGGCCCAACAAGAAAACCCAACTGCTTAGAAAGCGTTCTGCAAATCAGTAGGTTGCTTTCTCCTCTTTGAGTCAATACTAGCTCAATAACCAGCTTGATATTAGGAATCGCAATACTGCCCGAGCTGAAATCCTGGAACCTCCTCCCCAATAATTTTTCTAGGTAAAAGAGCACCATCCAGTTTGAGTTTCTGGCCTGAGTAAATACATTTTAGGTAACTAAGTTTCCCCTGCCATTTCAGTTGGCTGTAGTATTCTTCAGAACTCTACTGTGTGATGCTTGGGTGGTGTTAAGACAGATCTCCTTTCATCTCTGAGACGGCATCATCGTGACCTATTTTTAAGGTGGTCTAGAATCCTAAAGGATGAAAGGCCCGGTATGTAGCTGAGGATGTTCCTCAGACAACTGTTTAGTATGTAAGAACAAAAGAACTGCTGTTTACTGCATGAGACTCCAGGTCCATCTTGCCCAGTATTCTGCGTCATGCAGTGGAAAGGGAGAGTGAACTGGGTACAGAAAAGGTTTTCCCTGCTCCCATTCTTCTCTCACTTGCAGGCCCTGGCGTTTAAAGTTCTGATTCAGAGGCTATGCCCCTAAATCCCAGGTGCAATAGCTAATATTTAAAGGGCTGCCTCAAAGTCAAATTTGTCCCCAAATTCACTTTTAAAATATCTTGGATGCGACTGTTGATAATTACAGGAAGTGCATGAAAGTCCGCTGCACTTGAGAGTCTAGCCGAGTGGTTCTCAACCCTGTTTAGGCTCAAGCCCTCCCTGCGAAAGTGCCAGTGATGGGTGGATCCAGGGGGGTGCACTTGCACCCCTTTTTGATTCCTGCTCCACCCAAAAGTTAAAGCCAACTGCCTGGTGGTGGCATTTCTAGTTGGGCAATGCCAAGGGAGTCAGCTGACTTCATGTCTCATTGTAATTTCCCTGATCCTTTCTAAACTCTTCATGGCACAGGTGTTAAGGACCCACTCTTCTTTTTAATCATCTTGATGGTCAAGCTAGCCTTTGTTCTGCAGTGCTGCTGCCTGCCAGCTGCTCCTGCTAATGAAGCTCCTGTTCCACAGCCCTGCAGATTGTTTTCAACTCATTCCAATGAAATTTCATTGGTTTTTCCTTCCATCTTAAACTGAAACATACAGGGTGGTCTAAACGTTTCTTAATGCACAGTGGTTACTGCACATTTAATTGAATACTTGTATAATCAAGTACTAAATAAGCGTGCAGTAACCAGAGTTACTGTGTAATAGCGCAGGCGAATGCCTTTTTAGTGCCGATATTGTGCAGTAGCCTAATACTACTGTGCAGGAGCGTATTAGCAGTGTCCGTGCTGCAACAGGCTACAGCACAGCGTTATTAGGCTACTGCGCAGTTAGCGCCTCGTGTAGATGCGCCCGCAGGCCCCCAACCCCCCGCCCCCCCCCCCCCCCCCCGCCTATTAGCAAAGCTTCTAGTATGCAGATGCCTGACTCTTAACTCCCCAAACCAGTGCTCTGCTCCCAGCTTGAGATCAGGCGAGGCCAGAGGAAAGGCTACAAGGGTTTGCTGAAGGCATGTACCTCAAGAAAACGGGCTGCTCACCGACTCCAGTGGCACCACAGCCCGGCTCGAGGTAACGCGTCTCGCCCTCCAGGCGGGCGAGAGGGAGGGAGGAGGGAGCGCAGCCTGGTCTCCCTCGCGGAGAGACCGGCAACTGCTGCCCGTGGGTCCGTGGCTCCAGGGCTGGACTCTCAAGTCACCTCCAGACCCGGACCCGTCCAGAAGCCGTGGCAGGGGCACCGTGGGAGGGAGGGAGGGATCGCCCGCTAACTGCTCTTTCACTGTGGAGAGACACGTGTCGCTGTACCCGGGACCGGGACCGGGACCGGGAGGATGCCGCCCGCGGCGCCAGCTCTCCCTCTTCCTTCCCGGGGCTGCTTGTCCGCAGCGGAGAGCGGAGCAAGGCCGGGCCGGGCCGGGCCGGGTCCGGACGCGACGTCTGTGCGGG